AAAAATAAGTGTAAGATAGTTAATGGGGAAAATGCTAGCATTTGAAGGATCAGGAGAAAACATGTAGGAAGTGGTATCTGAGCTGTGTCTTAGAGACACTAGAGGTGAGGAGAGGTTGGATTCTAGGAATGGGGTAGGGCCAGTGCAAAGACACAGAGACGAGACGTAGTTGACCATATACGAGGAACAAACAGAAGTTCTGGTCAACTGGAGCACAGAGTATAGGAAAGGGACTAATGTATAATGAGACTGGAAAAAAAGGTTAGTGCTAAGTTATGACTTTATCCTAAAGGCAATAGGGAACCACTGGACTTTATTGAGCAGGGAGATGATAGGGTCAAATCTACACTTAAAAATCACTTTTGCTACAGTGTATAGGATGGACTAGGGAGAAATAGGGACAGATTTGAGGCAGGGAGACCAATTAGGCAGCCATTGCAATAATTAGTCTAGAGATGATGAGGTCCAAAACTGAAGCAGTGCCTTGAGAGTAGAAAAAAGAGATCAGATGTGAAAGGTATTATAGAGATAGAAACAAGATTTGGCAACTGATTAGCTATGTGGGATGAGAGCAAATGAGAAGTTGAAAATTTTGAAGTTGCAAGCATAGGAGAGTGGAAGAATAGTGGTACCCTCAACAAAAATATGAACATTCATTAGAAGGAAGGGCTTGGGGGAAATTGACAATCAGTTCTGTTTTAGGGGTGTTTAGGCTTAAGATGTCTCTAATGCATGTAGTTTTAATGTCCAAAAAGCAGTTAATTGATGTGGATGGAGCTCAGGAAAGAGAATCAGACTGGATCTATAGATTTATGAATCATCTGTATAGAGGTGATAATTGAATATGTGGAAACTAATGGTCATGAAGAGAGAATAGATAGAAGACCTAGGACAGAGTTTTGAGGTACACCCATGTTAGAGAGATATGATATGAATGAAGATCAAAGGAGCCCATGACAGAATGATTAATAAATTTAGGAGGAAAACCAAGAGAAAGCAGTGTCATGAAGACACAGAACAGAATGAGTAGGAGCAGAAAGATAGTCAGTAGTGCCAAATGCAGGGGATGTTGAAGGTAAGGAATAATACCTTTAGACTCTGAAATTTTGATACCAAAATTTTGGAGAGAGCAGTTTCAGTTGAATGATAATATTGAAAGGCAGATTGCAAAAGGTTGGGGAATAAGAGAGAGGTGAGGAAGAAGAAGTAACAGAATCAGAAGATGGAATGTCATGTGTGAGGAACAAAAGACCAGTTTGATTTAGCCGTAGAGTTCATGGAGGTGGATAAAGTAAAAGAAGACGAGCAAGATTGTGAAGGGTTTTAAATGTCAAACAGAGGATTTTGTATTTGATCTTGGAGGTAATAGGAGCCATTTCAATTTATTAAATAAGGGGGTGACATGGTCAGACGTGCACTTCAAAAATCACTTTGCAGCTGAGTAGAAAATGAATCAAAGCAGGAAGAGACTTGAGGCAAGGAGACCAATTAGAATGTTACTGCAGTAGTCCACACGAAAGGTGATGAGAGCCTTTGGTGGCACTGCAGCTGTGCGAGTAGCGGAGACATACAGGACAGATGTTGTGAAAATGAAAATGACAAGATCTGAAAAGAACTTGGATGTGTGGAGGGCGAGTGAGCAGTGAGGACACCAAGGTTACAAGCCTATAGACGATGGTCCTTTGACAGTAACAGAAAAATTGGTAAGAAGTTAGAGTTTGAGAGAGGAGGGAATCTTACATGGATGGAAATAGAAGCAATAGTCACATGTCACCTCTCTCTGATCTAAAAGACAATAAGGATATTATCTTTAACCTAGAATTTGCCATTTCAGAAATGACGGAGCATCATCAAGGGTGATCAGTGTGAAGCTTACCTTTAACCATTCTGGGTAAAGAAGCACATGACACAGGCACGTGCCCTTTACAAAAAAAAAAATGTTCTCCAAAGGAATGCCATTCCTTAAATCCAGAAGAGAAGTGGGGGGTAGAGGGGCACAGCTACAATTAATCAGAATTAGTCTAAATGGAGAGTCTTATTATGGCTTTATCCCAAGAAAGGTAACTGAGAAAAGTTACAGTCTGCTCTCAGCCACAGGCCTTTGATTTTATTATTTATAGATTTCTGTCATCCAGACTAATCCAGTATGTGGTTATTACGAAAGGCATGGATCAGTCCTTATTGACAAACTCTTGTTTGGCTCTTGTCCTTTGGTGTTCCTGAATTACTCATACAGAGGCAGAACTTTCTCTAATTCCCACTGTACTTGCCTAGCTGCTAAATAACATTCTTCCCATAAAGGTCACAAGACGCATAGATCCCCATTCAATATGAGATTTTGATTTCTTAGTCAGGAAGTATATCCACATTTGTATTAAGATCATAGATTTTAAAACTAGAAGGAACCTTAGAGACTATTGAGTCCAATTCCCCTCATTCTGCGGATAAAGAAACTTAGTCACAGAGAAGTTAAGTGATTGCCCATTTTCACACCACTAGTAAGTGTCTGAGACAGAATTCAAACTTGGGGCTTTTGCCTCCAAGTCTAGCACTGTGTCTATTTTGCCACTTCTCTGTCCCCATTGCTAATCAATTATGAGAGTCTTAGCCAACTACTTAGCAGTGAGTAATTCTAGGAACAGTTCTGAAACAAGTTTTGAAGTAATTGATGTAAATGCAAGACAATTCTATATTGAGATTAATAGGTTCCTCAGAAAAAGAATAATGGGTGGTAGATCTGGTCAAGTATTGCAGTTCTTCAGTCCTTTTGTCTGTTACCCTCCTTATAAAACCCACCACTATTACTTTTGTCTTCGGGACCTACAGTCTTTATGCTACCTCTCATTTGCCCACAACCCCACTGTATTATTCTCCCATGGACCCACCTTTTCTGGTAGCTTCTGCATGGTGGCATGTTCTGTCCTCTTCATTGAAACAGCCTCAGTGTGTCTGTATCTTTCAGGGTGAAAATTAGATATGGGATAAATTAGTTGATGCCCCAGTGTGCTGATGAGAAAAGTATAGAGACCTTCTCGGCACTTCATCTTGTCCCATGTTTTATTTATGTGTAATACATATTTATATTCAATGACTACCCACATTGTTGTGCCTCACATCAGTACTGTAAAAAATGTAGCTACCTGCTCACTCTCTAGGCTGGCCACTCACTTTAGTCTGATCTCACACCAGCAGGTCTAGTTTCTCAGTGAAAGTTACACTCAAACTCTCTCCGAGATGATCCTGTTGTGAATACACTCCCCCTTATAGCCTCTGTAGCTTTCAATCTGCCACTGGTATATTTCTATTTGTACATACTCAGCTACTCACAATTGGCACACTTAGGTCTTAAATGTGGCCATTTACTCAACAATAAAGCAAAAGAAATAATAACATCACAGATTATTAAAGCAAATGCAAGAATAATAGAAATGTCTTAAACCTGGGTCACATTCCTCTACCAATATATACTCATACCTGTGGGGGAGAGTGGGCACACATTTAACAGAAACCTGGTAGGGAAGGCCATGAAAGAGGAAAAGCCAGGTGCTCAGGGTAACTCACAGCTCTGAAGTGCAGACTTTGATGACATTAGTCCATTTAGAAATTTCAACATCTGCTTCTCTGCTAACTGTTCCCCTTCTAATCCTCACCACCCTCTAGTTGGGCAAATCCTATTCCTTTTTGTTTTCCAATCAATGAAGCATTTAAAAGTTCTTTCAACTAACTATCACTGTTAAAATGACATGATAAGAAAGTATCACCCTTTAAGCTAGAGAAATGTAAAACTCAACAAGCTGTCTGTCTCTGGGCAGAGCATACAAGCCCAACCAGTTATTCATTAACTAGGATGCTATGTTGTCCAATTACGTATAAGTACTTCTTTCTAAACAGCAAAGCAGCTACGAAAACTATCTTTCCCTTATTCTGCTTTTCCCTCTCACATCATGGAGAGTAGCAAAGAACTACAGGCCCTTCTGAGAAACCTCATTTCTCTCAATACCCTAAATCATTTTCACTTATGATATAAAAATTGCCTCTATGAAATCAAGAGTGCTTATTTATTCATCCCATGGTCTCCAAATAGTTACATGATTTTTCATTTTGTGATTTAACATCAGTAGTATTAATGATGTTATTATTTTTGGAGGGGAGCAGACTTATGATTTCACTGGTATGAGAAACTCCCCGTAAGGAAACTTTGTCTATTAATGCCAGTCATACTTGCTTTGCAACTTATATTCTTAGAACAGATATTCTTTTAACTTTTTGTGTATAGACCACTTTTGGCCATCCAGTGAAGCCTATAGACCCATTCTCAGAGTAATGTTTTTAAATGCATAAAATTAAATTCATCTTGAAACCAGGTCTTCTGGACTTAGAGATCAGTCCTTGATCCACTCCACCCCACTATTTTTTAACTTTTATTATCAGTTGATGATGATGATGATGATAGCAATGTAATTCTGACCATGAAAATTTCAGGGTTAGAAGAAAGCAGGGCCATAGCAGGTCAATATAGGTTATCTTAAGATAACCCTTAAATTAGACCATGTAAGTGGCTATATGTATCTCTTAATTCAATTGGAAGTGTTTCTGCTCTAAAATGAATTACTAAGGTGGATAGAGAGGGTTCCTCCCTACTGTAACCTAAATTTTATCATAATTAGTTTGTTTGACATGTGATTACAAGATAAATGGATTAATTATATTTTATTTGCAAATCATTAAGAAGTATTAACCAAAAATGGTTTTCCCTGCAGATTGTTTTTGGTTGCCTGGGGTAGGATAATTAAAGAGACAAAGGGGGGAAATCTGTACTGCCATCAATCTAATTAAAGATAATCAAATAAACCCTTAAGCTAACTAGAGGTAACTTTGAAGCCTGTGAAGTGAATAGAAGCACACTGTGCTCTTCCCTGCCAAAGGAGCCATTTATTAGTAGTGTTAATGAATTAATCATTCTAAATCCTTTCACATCTTTGCTGATTTTTGTTGAATAGCCCCCATTTGATGGTGAAGATGAGGATGAACTCTTCCAATCCATAATGGAACACAATGTTTCCTATCCAAAATCATTGTCCAAAGAGGCTGTTTCCATCTGCAAAGGAGTAAGTAGATCTTGTTTACTTAGCAGTTATTATTATGATTATTACGATCATGACCCAAAAGAGCTGACTATATTGAATTATTTCAACTCAACCCAACACTTGTGAACTGATGGATCCATATACCTTTTCTATCACTGCCCTGGATTAGAACCAGGAGTGCTGTGAGGCTCAAATGAGATAATGGTTGTAAAGCACTTTGCAAACCTTAAAGTGCTATATAATTGACAGTTATTATTATTAGCCTCTAGCAACCAAGTCTCCAATCTGGTGATGACTTCATTCCCTGAAGCTTCTTTTATACTCTTGAACTCAAGCAATTTTTATAGAGCAATATAGCTGGGTTCTCTGTGTAAAAAAAAAAATGCACTTATTTTTTAAGTTTAATTGCAATATTAACACTTTCTAGATAGTCAGTAAAACCATAAATGAAGCTGTGATTTGTTGTAGTTGCCTATTTCCAAAATGTAAATGCTCACACTGAAAATTTGACAGTCATGCTTACAAGCCTGTTAAAGTTGGTTCCAGCACACCCTTGATTAGAATCCTATCAAATCAACCCACTGTTGTTACTTGGTTAGTTTGGTTCATTGATTGGTTTGATTTCAGCAATATTTCCTCATATAAGCTTCATCATATAAATCCACAGATGAATGAGAAATACAAATCATAGTTAATGGGATGGAACAGGTACTTTCTGAGAAACCTCCAGGTATATTCATTCATTCATCCAATACCATATTCAGGGTACCTTTAGGTGCCAGGTTGTATAAGCAATACAGAGGCAACAGCTGCCAAACTCTTAATCTCCTTGACAGCAGGGACTAGATGTTATTCAACTTCTTGACCCCAATGAAACCTGACATAATGTCTTGCACATAATAGACACTCAGTAAATATGATCAATTGAATTGAATTAGTAATAACCCCTGCCCTCAAGAAGTTTCTAGTCGATTATTACATCAAAGCTTCACAGTGGAAATAGATTATGTCTGTAATTTTTTATTCACATATGATCATACCATTCTGGAGATTTTGGCCCAGCTCATAAATAAGCAATACACACATGTAAACAAACACCACACCACAAACTTTATATACAAATTGCTGAGAGCACTATAGTGCTTTTAAAAAACAAGATCTAGTAAAATGTTGGTACAACCAGTCTTGGTTGGGATGGCCAAAGTTATGGTATCAGGGAGCAAGATCTCAATGAGTGCCAGAAGATGGAAGGAAGATGAAAAGAAGAAGTTAAAAATAAAAGGAAATTTGATAAAATTGGTACTACAGGCAGATTACCATTTAAATCTTTCATGAAATTTCTCAAAACTACTCAATAGTACTTATCCTATATTATCGTCATAAAAAATTGTGATGAGAAGAACACTATAGTACAAATTCATTTATTTAGTTGATTGGGGGAAGTAGAGAATGGAATAAAGAATCCACTGGAATGCCATTTTTCTCTTTTACTATTCTTTTGTTTTCTAGCTAATGACAAAGCACCCTGCAAAACGCCTGGGCTGTGGGTCTGAGGGAGAAAGGGACATCAGAGAACATGCATTTTTCAGAAGAATTGACTGGGAGAAACTGGAGAGCAGAGAGATCCAACCACCGTTCAAACCTAAAGTGGTAAGTAAAGAAAGAAAACTGTTTTTTTTTTTTGAGAACATGAGTGTGAAGTCACATTTCCCTGACAGAAGAAAAAGGATGACTTGGCAGCCCCAGAACAAAGACAATGACCAGCTTTTTGCTGTGTCCTATTTCCTACTGAAGACTCACTCAATGTTTTTATTTGGTTTCATGTAATCAAAATTACTATTCACTTTAGAATGGAAAAACTGATCTGCCCCCAAATATTGGTTTATGGCCCAATGTTCCTTACATAGAATGACTTGAGTTGGGCAAGTATTGATTTAACTCCCATAATCTCATATCTAACATGAGATTTCTTCCCTTAGCTTGCTCACTCCTAGGTAAGAATGATATTTCTGAACCATTTTAAATACATGTAATATGATCATAAAAACAAGTTCTGACTAGTAGTGTTTTCTTTGATTCCCACACCCCTAATAAATCCCCAAGTTTATCATAACTATATCATAATTTCCTCATATCATACTTTCTCATTCATTTCTGGACATAGTTACTTCAGCTGTTACTTCCAGACTTAACATCTTAACATCTTAATTTAGGTATTTTGTGTGTGTTAGTTATTCCATTACTACTAGTTTTCTGACCATTGACTTCAGCTTATAATTGGGTTTTGAGTTTCTTTTATTTGACAACATTTTTATTTTCACCAAATAATCTTTTTCAAATAATATTAAGGCATCTGATCATCTCTCTCCATCATCAGTATCTTTAGTAGAACAGCTAGTACTTTGGTGTTGTCTCTGAACGCTTATAGCCAGAAGGCTTCCCCTCAAGATAATGTTGCTGTTCAGTCATTTCTGACTCTTTGTGATGACATTTGGGGTTTTCTTGGCAAAGATCCTGGAGTGCTTTGCCATTCCCTTCTCCAGCTTATTTTACAGATGAGGAAACTGAGGCAAACAGGGTTAAGTGACTTAACCAAAGGTCACACAGGTGGGAAATGTTTGAGGTCAGACTTGAACTCAGGAGGATCCTGAATCCTGGACAAGCACTCTATCCACTGTGCTACCTAGCTGCCCATAAAATGGAGAATACTTTCTGATACAGGTTAGACTAGATGGTAGCTGAGAAAACTTTCAACTCTTAAAATATATGATTCTGAGAAATGGTTCTCTGTATTCCACAGGCCATTTTTTTTTTGTTTATTTGTTTTTTGCTTAGGCAGTTGGGGTTAAGTGACTTGCCCAGGGTCACTTGTAAATGTCAAGTGTTTGGTCTGAGGCCGGATTTGAACTCAGGTCCTCCTGACTTCAGGGCGGGTGCTCTATCCACTGTGCCAGCTAGCTGCCCCCACAGGCCATTGTTAAAGCAATCTGTGGGTTAGTTTCCACAAAGCAACTACTACTATCAACCAAAGAAAAGATTCCTCAAACCACACAGTTTCTCACTCAGTTGACTGAGATGTCGAGCCCTTTTTTTAAAGGTAAGGGAGGAACTTCATCATCAAACATATGCTTGTGCTTCACCTACTACAAGAAAAAAAAACAACTGATGACTAAGTCTAATTGTATTTTTTCGGGCTGCTTTTAACACAGACTGAACAAAAACCAATGTTAATCTAGTCAGTTGACTTCTTCCTGAACCAGAATGTTAAAATCAGCCCCTATTCATCTTCCTTTTCCCTTTTTCTTTGATGCCAGTAACCTGGACAATCCAGAATACTGACTTCAGGGATTTCTCTTGCGATCTCAGGTCTCCAAAGTATAAAGTCCTGAAACCTGGACTGAGCAAAAGCAGAGTGTATGAATTCTGCTCTGACTAGTTTAGGCAGAATTTCAATTTGTCTTTTTTCATTGCTTCATATATTTGCCTTGCTCTTTTGAAAAAGAAAATGCGAGGTCATCCAGTTGAAAACTAATAGCTTCTTTAATGAAGTAATAGGAGAATAAATATTGAAACTGCTTTTAAAGTTGATATAAAATTTAGATATTCTTGACTTTCCAAAATAAATGAGTTTCTGCAAAGCTGTCTTATTTTCTCACTGACTTTCATTTTAAGATGCACATAAATTCTATTTATTCATATAATTTCCCACTCTTCTGGTAGTTATTTTAACACTAAAATTAAATGCAGGAGAAATTATGAAGTGCTGTTATTTCAGCAGGTTAGAATATGATTTACCCTTGATGGCCTGCTTTCAAGACAGTCCCTCCCCCACCTCCACTCTACACACCTCATGGCAGGAAAGTAACATGGCTTAATGGATAAAATGTTGGATCTGGAATCAGAAAGACCTGAGTTTGAATCCAGCCTCAGACATTTACTAGCCCTGTGACCCTGGATAAATTGATTTGTCCTCTATTTGAACCTCTATTTGCCTCAGTTTTTCTCATCTGTAAAATGGCATTATAATAGAATCTACCTCTCAGGGTTGTTGTGAGGATGACTATAATATTTGTAAAGTACTTTGCAAACCTTAAAGCACTATGGAAATGCTAGCTATTGTTATTATTATTATTATTATTATTTATTAAACCATTTAATCCTGAAGATTATTTAATTTTTTTTTAAATTCAAGCTCTAGGTCATCCTTCATTAAGAAAAAAAAAAGCCCTACTCTGATGCTTCATTGTGGCACAAAGGTTGCACTGAGTTTCCAAGAGCTGTAATGGGTCTGTCAGTTCCTAACATAGTGCCAAGGCTTTCAGGGATGTCTGAATACCAGCCACTAGAGGATGAAATGTTTAGGGCAATAAACACTCATGAAACTACTATTTAGGCCTGTAAACATTTGGTTCTGAGGCAAGAGAGAAAATACCCATACCAACAAACAAAATCTTAGATGTTTAGAGGATGGAAATGTATTTTCACTATCACCACTCAAATAGTTGAAAAAAAAAAAGATTGTGCTGTTTGAAGTTTTATTTGAAGTTTGAAATGATAAAGAAATACATTTCAAATTTAAAAGAAAATAATTGAATGACTGTGACCATATGATTGCTATATAAGACTGACATACTCTGTGAAAAAAGGATCCAACCCTGGGACTTCGTTGTTGTTGTTTAGTCATTTCAGTCATGTCCAACTCTTCACGAACCTTTTTTGGGGGTTTTCTTGGCAAAGATACTGTGATTTGCCATTTCCTTCTCCAGCCCATTTTGCAGATGAGAAAACTGAGGCAAACAGGGTTAAGTAACTTGCCTAGGGTCACACAGCTAGTAAGTATCTGAGGCTGGATTTGAACTCAGGTCTTCCTGACTCCAGGAAGTTTCACCAACCCACGGTCAACTTACCTGGGAATTTTTAGTCTTTCTTATGAAAATGTGTACAAGAGTTTATTTGCTTTCATTCCCAAAGCTTTTATCTTTCACCTCTTTTAGATGTTTCCTGATCATTGAACCACAACTTGTGAGCCTCTGAGCCTCCTGGACCTTTCTAAGTTCTTAAGTTCCTTAATTTCAAACATCTGTTACACCTGAACTCTAATTATACCTATTCTGCTCCCTCGCTACCTTAGCTTAGCACCTTTTCTAGCACTATCTTCTTTCCATCCTACCCCTGCCTTCACACATAAGAATGTATTTTCTAGAGTTTATTTACAAGGAAAAAGTCATGTCTAAATTCAAAAATACTGTGCCAGAATATGCTACTTACATATATAAGAAATTTATCCAGGCCCAGCCTGGGGGACATATAAGCTTTCTAGCTTAATTAAAAGTTCCTTAGAATTAGCATAGTGCATTATCTCCATTCATCTTCCTCATGGCCTGAAGGAGAACAGTGCCTTCATTCCTGCCCTCCTGATTACATGGCATGTTTATGATACCCCATCCATACCACTTAGCTAATTTACTTCTTTTCTTTCTAAGTTAGGGGATAGAAGAGGGAATTGAAGGAATAATCAAACAAAGATCATCTCAACTTGTCAAAATTCAGAATAATTCAACCAGACACAAAAGTCAATCCCAAAGTTCAAAATAGACTGCCTGTTCTTTACACCAAGATATATGTAAAATAAATTTCAAAAGTCTAAATATTTCATTTATTCATTCATGTTAAAATGATTTGAATTACCTGGGCAAAAATAACTTTGAGGTTTGAATGCGAAAGTAACATGCTATTTCCCAATACTGGTTGTGAAACTTCAGCAAAGATTACTCCTAAAGAATAAACAACTGGAGATGATTGTCCTAAGATCACAAATTTAGAGATCAAAGAGACCGTAGGGGCTTATCTAGCTCAATCTCCTTTTCTTGCAAGTGAAGGAGGTTAAGTAATTTGCCCAAAGTCACAGAGGTAAGAAGTGACAGAGACAGTATTCAAGCCTAAGTCTTTGGACTCTTTCCCCTGTGATATACTGCTCTCTAATATTTTTTAGTCTGGGTATTTATAGTATCTGATAGAACTAGGACATAATATGTCATATTTCATTAATAGATGCCTCCATAATGCATGGAGTGTTGGATTTGGAGTCAGGAAGACCTGGGTTTGAATCTCATCTCCACTATGTACTCACTAGCTATTTGACCATGGCCAAATCCTTTAATTTCTATGATACTGTGTTCTCATCTGCAAAACGAGAGTAATAATACCCGTAAAAAAAATGCCTCATGGGACTGTTTATAGGCTTAAATGAGAAAATATATGGGAAAAAATTTACAACCTTGAGTTACTGTTTAAATGTCAGCAATTTTAATGTGTGAACTATTACAACCTGAAAAAATCTTGATTTCATAGTTTCAAGAAACTTTATTCCAAAAATTGAATTATTGTCCTATTTATCAATTTTATGAGTTCAAATATTGGCAAAAGTAATTGATATATTTATAGTGGCAGCATGATGTAATGTTCTTCATGTTAAAATACCTAGATTCAAGCTCTTACTAGTTCTTTGACCTAGGATAAATTAGTTTACCTCTCTGAAACTTGGTTTCTGTATTTATAAAATGGGGATCATAAACTGGTGTAAGAAAAGTACTTTTCAAACCTTGAAGTATTATGTAAATGCAAACTATTATTATACAGAATTCAGAAAT